ACTTACTTACTTACTTACTTACTTACTTATTTACTTACTTACTTACTTACTTACTTACTTACTAACTAACTATTCCACCTATCTAGCCAGTTAAGACCACTCTAGGGGGCTGACAACATAAAAATCTATTTAATCAGAATCTACCTTGATTTATTTCTGGTTCCCCATTAGAGCATGAGCAACATATCCAGATAGTGTTACAATGCCTATGGGAGCATCATCTCTGCGCAAAACTTGAGAAGTGTGCTTTTGATCTCTAAGCTGTAGGTTATTAGACATCCCTTAAGGTGCTCCATATGGATCCTGCTAACATGGAGACCACCCTGTTATTGGCAGGCTCCTCAGAATGATAAGGATGTTCAGCAATTGCTTGGGTTCATCTGTTACTAGTGATGCGTCATCTCCACTACCTGGCCAGAAGTGGGCTGGCACTTCATAATGAAACTTTGCTTCATTAATAGTCCAACTGACAAGTCTATTATGGACTTTTGCTGGACAGCTCTTGCAGATTAGGCTTTTCAAATGTTAAATGCTTCCATCGCTGAACCCATTCTCCAGTATCCTGATCTGCAACCTCCCTTTGTTGTGAAGATTAACACTTCCAGTTTGGTAACTGGGGCAGTACTTTTTCAGCCAGCATGGGTCAACCAGGGCTTACACTTGTGTGCCTATTGCTCCCATAAATTCACCCCTCCTGAACAGAATGACATCATGAGGGATAAGGGGTTACTGGGCACAAAAGCTGTATTTGAGACCTGAAGGTGTCTCCTAGAACAGGAATGGTAAACCTTTGGCACTTCAGCTGCTTTGAACTATAGGTCCCACTTTTTTTATTGACAATGCAGGCTAAGGATTCAAGGATTTGTATTCTAAAATATCTGGAGTACCAAGGTTAGTGGAGGGTTCCAGGGCTGAGGAGGTGGCATGACCTCTCAGCCCTTGAGCAAAGACTAAAAACATGAGCCTGGTTGAAAGCTACAAGGCACGTAAGGTCTCCTTGTGAGCAGAAGCCTCCTTGTGTTCAAATGGGTTGGCATTCTCCCAGGGAGACCAAGGGGCCAAACCATATGGTTGCATTCTTCCACTTGCTGCCTGAGCACTACAGCTGTGTGTTGGGATGGGCCCCAGCACTGCAGCTATAACTCAGTTTGTTGGATTGACAAGGTGCTGGAAGGAACTTTTCTGACAGCCTCTGCCTTGTTCTGGATTGGCTGGACCTTGTTTGAATTGCTTCCTGGACTATAACTTTGGATTGCCCTGTCTGGGTGTCTGTTATGGTGAGCCTTATAGTTCCTGCTTCACCCTTTCCATAGTCGGGGCCTTGATTAGCCAGTAGCTTTGCTTATTTCATTAAGTGCAAAACAGGGCAAAAAGTGTAAAAACATCCCATTCTCCAATTCTTAATCCATACTGTCTCTATACAGTGGTGCCTTGCATAGTGAGGTTAATCCGTTCCGGATTAACCTTCTCTATGTGAAAACTTTGCTAAGCGGAAAGTAAAAAGCCAAATCGGCACAAAACTCACCGTTTAGCGAAGTTTCCAGGGTCCGGCAGCCATTTCCGCGCCCTCAGTAAGTGAGGGGAGGGCGCAAAAACTCTGCGCGCGGCCATTTCAGGCGTCCGGCAGCCATTTTGGAACCACCGAACATCTGATTTTTGGGCGTCGCAAAGTGAAGATCGGTAAGTGAAACGCTTACCGATCTTCGCTATGCGAGTTTTGCCCATTGGGGCCGACCCTATGCCTCCGCATTAGCGATCCCGGAAAAGGGATCGCTATGCGGATTCATCGCTATACGAGGTGCTCGTTAAGCGAGGCACCACTGTATAGTTGTTATGCTCCCACATATTCCTGATGTCACCTTCTGGAACCAGCAATCTCCATTGCCCTCTAAGGAGAAAACAGCAGATTGCACTCGCTCTAAAAATTGCAAATAAGATGTTTAATTTCAGAAAGTGAGTTCACCATTTATAAATACACTAAAACATAGTAAATGCAAAAATTCAGCAGAGGTACAGTATTTTAACAAAACTACATATTTCCTAAAGGTCATAGTTAACTTATTTCCCCAAAGAATTTCAGCAACACACAAAAAAGAGAAAATGAATCTTTAAAAAAATGTTTTAAATGTGAAGAGTGTACTTGTTTACCATTAAAATGCTGGCTATTCTTACCTCAGCTTGAGGTTGAAAAGTTTTCTACAATATCTCATTTGTCTGATGGACACTGTCAATTATGGGTCAATTCTACTATATAACATTCTAAGCAGGGCACCAATCTATAAAGAGTATTAACTGAGAATCAGCTTCTTGTAATGGGAATGCAAGAGGATGACATACACAGTTTTCAATTACAGGGGAAACCAGGATTCAATTTTTACACCATAGAGGAGTGGATGCTTTGATGCACTCAATCTTAAAAGGCTTTAGCCAAATGCCTACTCTTTATATTTTACTTTTTAATACACTGCGTTAAATAACTAACATCATTTGGAAAAATTTGAAAATAAAACATCCCAAAGACTTTATAAATACTCAAGCTCTAATCCATACAGTGTAAAAAACCTGAAGAGGGACCACTTAACAGCAAAGTTACAGGTCACCATATAACTGATATTCCATGATACCGCTAAGTTCAGTTTAGTCAAATACTAAATCAATAGTCACCCTTAGTACATACAACATACTTGAATATTACCATTATTCTTTTAAGTATATTTCAGTTGCAGTTAAAACCTGCTAAGTAGAAAGATGGCTTCAATCCCACCTTTATATACAGCTTTCTTCTGATAGCTACAAAATGGTCCTTGCAATTAAAGCAATGTTCAGCTAATATACAGTACCTGGTTTTTACATAATTGAATAAAAAACTACGTAATAGAACTGTTTACATCTCTTCTTTGCCATTCTATTCAAACAGCTTCAAAATTTCATTTACAATTCTCAATTAAAAGCTACTTTTTTAATAATTGGAACAAAGACAAGTCTAACTCTAAAATTATTTTTTTTAAAAAAAACATGTATGTACATTATCTGGCCTGAATGACTATTAATAAGGCACATGTAGACATATAGAAAGCTAAAAAATAAAACTGAATTTTGAACTACAGTCACTGATAAGATGTCATACATGGCCCCTACTGGAGCAATTTAACAATCCAAATTACAAATACAGTAAGTATCCAGTGAGCAACATTTTTAGACTGACAATTTGTTCTTAGTTTCAATACTGGAAGTATATCAAAGGAAGATTAACTTTCAAAAATATAAGTTTTTCAAAGTGTTCCATTGCCAATCTTGAGTGACTAAAGCTGATGTTTTCATTGGATGTACTGAACAATCTCTCTGATGGAACAATGCTTGGAGGACAACCCAGGAATCGAACAGCCAACTTTGACAGTACTGGCCAGGATGATTTCTTAAAGTTCCAGTAGGTTAGAGGATCACAGTTATGCTCAAGCACTTCTTCTTCCAAATATAAAAGTACCATTTCTTCAGGCAACTTTGCCTTTTCTTTTGGAACTTTTGCTTTCTTCATATCTTCCATAAGTGACCAAAGATTATTGTCCCCATAAGAATTTTTAGATGGTGAACCTATACCACAGTCACTGGAAACAGGTTTATCATCATCTGAGGTAGCATTTAATATTTCCAGCTCCCTGATTAAATCCTGTTTATACTGTTCTGCCTCCTCTTCAGTGAATAAGGAGGCCTTGTAACGAGGATCCAAAAGTGTAGCAAAAATATACCTTGGATCCTGAAGAGTGGAGGACAGCCGACTCACCATAGCTTCCTTTAAGGACTTTAGCATGGTATCTATACCCATTGTTTCTTCGAACAGTAGTTCTATTTTCCGGTTGAGTATGTGAATCATTGGAATTACTTGGCTTAAAGTGGACATATGAGTACTCATCTCTCTGCTTGCAACTTCAAATGGTTTGAGTGCATGACAAACAGACTGCATCACTTCCCACTGATCACAGCTTATTAACTCTCTGAAGCTGCACTCTATAGACATTTCATCAATAGCTCTTTTCTGTTCAATTAGGCGTTCAAGCATATGGAATGAGGTATTCCACTTTGATGGAACATCTTGAATTAACTGATGTTGTGGCAAGTGATATTCTTTCTGCAACTCTGCCAGCTTCTCTTTTGCCTTTGCTGACCGATGAACACGTTCACATATCTTTCTTGCAATACTAAGCAGGTTCTGAACCATTCTCTGGCTTTTAATAGCTTCATTCACTATGAGGTTAATGGTGTGACCAAAACACTGCACACTTGAATGTTCCCCTTCATTTAAAGTTTTTTCTATAGTTTGATTATCTGTAACAGTTATCCCAACCTGAAGTCCAATGGATGTTACCCACGTTTCCCACCAATATTCTAGTTGCTTTTGAACGCTGATACCACTGTAGTCACAATCAATCTGTGATACATTTAGTAGAGCTGAACAATGATAATCTTCACACTGTGGTCGAACCCTAGACTCAAACGTCACCCAATGAGCAGTCAGAGTTATATATTCCCTGGTTTGGTTGCTCATCCATATTCCAGAGGTAAAATGCACTACTCCACTTTCAGCTTCTTTAAGATTTGAAACAATTATTTCTTTCACACTATCATACATATCTGGAATTGCAGTATGAGAAAAATAAGATGGTGAAGGCAACGAATATTGAGGCTGCAAGTATTCAAGCAATCGATTAAAGCCAATATTGTCTACAAAAGAATATGGCTGAAGGTCAAGTGCAATCATTTCAGCTACAAGACTTGTAATTTTTTTGGCAACAGGGTGAGTGTCAGAAAATTTGTCATTGGTTTCTTCAAAAGATGAAGCTCCTAAAACACCTTTATTCAGTGGAACATGACTATTTGTAGAAGAGGACAATACTGGCTCTGCAGCATCTGGTTTCAGCACATTGTTATGAAACCGTTGTAAATGTCTTAGAAGGCAACTGGTACCTAAATTGGTTGGCTTTTTCCCTCGACTTATGGTACGTCCACAGTGCATGCATATTACTTTAGTTGAATCTGCAGAACAAATTGAAAAATGATTCCACAGTTTTGAGGTCTTTTTGCTACTTATGGGAAATATAACTTGTGTATCATTAGTAACCATTGTGGGTAAATCAGTCAATTTTGAAGATGAACATTCTGCAGAAGCCAAGGTAGCATAAGGAGAATTTGCTAAACTAACATCAATAAAGCTCTTTTGGATCCCAATGATTTCAGGATGACGTCTGTATAAGTGTCTTGTTAAACAGCTTGTGCCTAAATCACCTTTTTTCCCATGATTTATCACACAACTGCAATGTCTACACACAACTTTTAGACTATCTCCTGGAGACAAAGAAAAATGGTGCCACACTTCTGACTTAAGCTTTCGCATCATTCTTTTATTCTGATGAAAAACAGAGCCATGTTCAAATATCAAAGGGCTCTTTTCAGGGGATGAAACTAACGAAGCTTCAGCTATATCTTCAGATGATGACACCAATGAAGAGTCCTCCATGAAAGTATCGCCCAAAGGGAGATTAGAATTGTTTTCTTCAGCCACTTGATCTGGAGAAGAACAAATAGACATTGCTTCTTTCACAATTTTACCAGGAGATGACACAGAACTTGGATCACCTTCTGATGGCAGTAAAGGTGGCAATAGAGTTGGAGGAGCAGAGTACAAAGGGGGTATGCTTGAGCCACCTCCATTCTCTTGCAAAACAATAGAACGATGGGCTCTCCACATGTGTCGTATTAAACAACTGGTTCCAAGATCTTTTCCATTCTTTCCTCTACTGAATTCATTCATACAATGTATACAAACAGCTTTTGAGTTATCTAGAGGCGATAAATAAAAGTGTTTCCAGACAGCAGATCTTCTCCTAGAGCCTGATGTACTTTTAGGGATCTGAACAGTTTTTTCTGTTACATTCTCCACCACTTCTTCACACTGATTATTTGGTAAGTGTTGAGATAATCCAGCACCACCTTCTTCTTTATTGCTGTTTTCATTATGTAACAGATCTGAAGGCATTTCTTCAGAAGAAACTACAGGAACAGGTTCCTCAGTTATTTGATCTGGGGATGGGATCTTCGAAACTGTTTTCTTAAGTAATTTTACAGGAGCTAATACGCTGGTCAAATCTCCAACTTCTGCAGGCTGAGGAAGTATTAATAAAGTAGATGACGAAAAGGAAGATATTGTTGGTATGCTTCCATTTTTCTGAACAAGTACAGTAGGATGAGCTCTCCTCACATGCCTCATTAGACAACTTGTACTCAGGTCCTTTTCATTTTTACCCCTGCTAAATTCTTTCATACAGTACATACATATTGCTTTAGTGCTGTCTCTAGGAGATATAAAAAAATGGTTCCAGGCAGGTGACTTTTTTCGAGAGCTTATGTTTCGACCTGAAAGAAGGCTCTGTGTTACAGCTTCCATTGCTACATCATAAAGAGTGCTACTGTACTGGGAAAACAGAGATCCATAGTCATCTTCATTTTCTGCAGAAATGTATTTGCCTGAATTGCTGTGGATGAAATTCTTTTCTCTGTCATCTTGTTCATCACTGCTGTCTGTCTGCCTTAAATCTTCTTGCTCAGTTTTTATATGCATTGCTTCCAATTCACAATTACTATCATCTTCTGGCTCTACTTTTAAACTGTTGATTTTACTCATCATAAAATTATCATCAATTTGTGGAGAATTTGCTCTATTTGTATCCATGATTGACCACAATTATTTCTACTGAGTCTTCATCATCTAGTGAAGATTTTAGAACTGGGTTTAAATTGTATTTCTTAGGTCAGGCAGAAAGAATAGGTGAGGAACATATCTTTGTAGTTTAATGAAAAGGTTACATGAATTTTTGAAAAAGCACTTTTAATGCATAGAATCCTATTCCCAATCAGAACCTTGAGATCTCCAGGTCATATATTGTTTCCGAATGGTGCTGGTACTAAATGTTTCATATTGTAGAGTGCAGGCTAAGCAGAAGTGGTTGCATTTCTTCTCAATAAGTTCATATACTCATCTTAGTTCTATTATGATTTCCTCGCATTATCTAGAAATAGAAGAATATAACAAATATAAGTATATCAGTTCAGGCAGGCTCACTTTACTCCCCTAAACTGAACTACTACTTTATGTTCATGTTTCAGTTCCATTGTTCTTTAAATCCCATTGTTGTCATAAATAGAAGCAGAGGTAGGCAACCTGTTATCTTTCAGGCTAAATTGTAATGCCCAAATTCCAGCATGACCAGTACTTGAGGATTATGGAATCTGCAATCCAAACATTTGGAGGATGCCAGTTTGCCTATACATGAATAAAAGGAAGATAAACTAAAGGAAATATAAATGGAGTTCTTAAGATGTTTGCATAAAGAGTACATCTAAAAAGTATTCTCTATATGTTGTTTCTAATGGTGAGGATCCAAGTATCTAATTTATATTTGCCCAAGGGCTTAGTCATGACCAATATAACTGTTAATCTCCATCTCAGTCTGCCACAAGACACCTGTACTATTTTAAAAACTGTATATGACAGCTCACTCACAATGTGTTTGATTTGGAGAAATACAAGCTATACCACCACAGTCACATAAAACTGATGATCTGTTTTTGGGGACCAGGCCATCATTTGCTTGAAACTTAAAAGTTTGGCAAAAGATTTACAGACTAAACATCTTCAGTCTGTAACAAGGAAGTGTACATGCTACATAACAAGCACTACAGGGTAAAAGAAGACACACAGATCACATCCCACATAATACCTATAACCTATCTTTGCTGAGGAGGGAACAACTCCACATCATCTGAACAGAAGGGATACAACCAAAACACCTTATGACACTGTTATACATGTTACTATTAGTTACATGTTTAGTTTGTGTGAAAGGTAATAGGTGCAGTGACTTTTGTGACTGGTGGATTATTCTTTGTTTCACCCTACTAATATTGTTCGCTTTTATTTATTTATGCTGAATTTTCCCAATTATCTCAAGTTCCCACATGCTCACCAGGTCTACTCTGGCCGCTTGCCCTGGCCTTGCCCTCCACCATGGCTGGCCCTGCTGCCTCCTCCTCGTCTGCAGCTGGGGAGTGAGTGTGATCAGAGGAGGCCTGGTAAGGTAAGGTGCTGCTTTTTGCTTTTCTAAAACTTCTGGGTGGGTTTGGGCTTTGGGGGGGTATGTTCCTATGCTGTGTTGTTGTTTTTTTTGGTGATTTTTTTGCAGTCCAAGCATGGGACTTGTTCTGATGTTTATTTTTATGTTTTTTAAGCCTCAGCATCTTCCGATGCAGTTTTCTGCGTGCTATTATTACTATTACTATTACTATTACTATTATTATTGTGGTATTTGTAAAAAATGCTGGAATGGATTAATCGCGTTCCCATGCATTTCAATGGGAAATGGTGCTTTGGCTTACGACCATTTAGAGTTACATCCATCTTCTGGAACAGATTATAGTCGTAAATGCTCCACTGTATTGTGCTTCTGTATTCAGAATTCAAAATGCCAGAAAATCACCCAATATTGCTGCACAATACTTTCAGCATGAAAAAGGAGGCCAAACGTTACATAGCAAAGGGCCACATGAAAGTTAACAACATCCATGTCAGCAGTCAAGATGCTCTATTGTGCTTACCGGGACTTCAAGACATTTTGCTACCTAGAGAAATTGTTGAAAAACAGCCCTGAGAATTGCTTTATTTTAGGCAAGAAGGGGTTAACTGATGAAAAACAGGAGTCAAGTTCTGGGATTTTTTCCTGATTGGTGTCTCTTATGAATGGTAACCAGCATTAGAGGAACAATGAGTAAATTGAGGGTATCTTCCCTTCCACACCTAATGACAATGCAGAACTGACTGGAAAAGACAATATTGCTGGGAAAAGTGTTGGGGGACAGAAGGAAAAGAGGAAGAGCTAACATGAGATGGTTGACTCAACAAAGGAATCCAGAACTGTCAGTTTACAAGACCTGAGCAGAACTGGAAAGTACAGTATTGCTGGGGACAGGGGGAGGCAGCAGAAAGAAAAAACAATTTAACAGGTTGTTGGCTTGCAAAATCTAAGCAGAGCTGTAAATTAAAGGACATTTGGGAGGTCATTAACATATAGTCACCACACATCAGAAATGACTTGACAGCAAATAACAACTTCAGATTTTTTTAAAAAAAATTACCAAGCAATCATATAGTAACAAGAGAGGTGGAATGGAAACTATTACAGGGGATATAGGCACCAAAGCTCTGTTAACATCAAGTATAGTGGTGCCTCGCTTTACGATTGCCCCGCATTACGACAATCTTTTTGTGATCACAAAACGATGGTCTAAATGGGGGTATTCTGCTTTGAGATGATCAGTTCCCTGCTTCGGGAACAGATTCTTCGCAAAACGATGTTTTTAAACAGCTGATCAGCGGTTTCGAAATGGCTGCCGGGTAATTAAAATGGCTCCCCACTGTGTTTAGAGACGGATTCCTCGCTATACAGGCAGCGAAAATGGCCACCATATGAAGGATCTTCGCTGGACAGTGAGTTTTTACCCCATTGGAATGCATTGAACAGGTTTCAATAAGTTTCAATGAGGTTTTTATTTTCACTTTACGATGTTTTCGCTTAACAGCGATTTTCCTGGAATGGATTATCATTGTTAAGTGAGGCACCACTGTAAGACCATTTGCAGCCACAAAGAAAAAAAAATCAAACAAAAAACAGTAATTTCACAGCCTAAATGTGTAAGCTTCTAAATATTTGTTGTGTTCTTTTTAAATATATATGTATTTTGAAAACCAGACACAAAATCCCCCTGCAAGTATGATTTTGATAAGCTTATTAGGCCGGGAAGAGTTAAAAAAGTAGCTAAGAGTAAGCCAATTGCATCCTGCTTGACTGAGTCAAAAGTTCAGATTGCCCCAGACCTGGATCAGAATTCCTCTTTGCAAAGTTATGTGAGGAGACTGTCTGGTGTTAGAAATCCTGAATGTTTACTGAAGATACATGGCAAAATATTCACCTTACTGGAGGAATGTTACTCTGTTACTTTTTTCAAAGGAGAACTTTTTTTTTTACTCTTTGAAGAAAACCTGTCTCTTCAGTCTATTTCTATGACTTTTCACTCTAAATATCTCCCCTCCTTGCCTAAGAATATACATGTTTCATTTCACCAAGGTCCTGCTGGCTAGTCTATACTAGGCATGCTCAGTTTTATAACAAAGCAGCTATTTTTATCCTTTGAAGGCCTTTTTTTGAGGCTCAATATTTCAGTCCATGCAACCTGGATTATTCCCAAATAAAAAAAGTAGGTGAAGCCAACCATTCTCTTTCAATATAAACAAGACTGGTGTCTCTCCCGCCCCCCCAAGTTTATGTGATTATCTAAATCTGGGGGGTGTTTAGGATAACTGATTTCTGAAAGTAGTGGAATTGTTTTATTTATTTTTTAACTGTAACTTGAAAACCATTTGCCCAAACTTCCCCAAATTTGGCATACAACAAGAGCAGATTGCTACAGATGTGATGCTGATCTGAAACCCAGTTGAAAAGTTATAATATTCTGTTTGGGCTTCACCTACTTTTAGAATTGCCTCATAGTATGTTGTTTTGTTCCGCCAGCACAAGATCATATAAATTGGACAGGTGTGTGAATGTTTGTGCCACATTCATAAGGTGCTCAGACTAGACTGAGTACCTGGTTAAGTTCCTTTTGTAACATTAATAATCAATGCTCCACAGCTTTCCCCATACTCCAACAGAGACAGCAGACATATTAATCTGTTTCATTCTTTTGTAGAATGTAAAAACAATATGTTTCAGGTTCTGTCTCAGAAACCTGAAACATACATAATTCTATAAGGATTTTTTCTGTGTGCATGTGACAATGGTTGGTGTTGAATTGTAAAAATGTTTTGTTTTTTAAAATGTGTTTCTCTTCTATGATTCTAACACAGATTTCTCATGCATATGAAAACAACCTGACTTTTGCACCTTAACTTAAAAACACCATCAGCTCATGAAATCTGACATAACATGTTTCATTGTCCAAAGGAATAATTGATGTGCACATGGAGTCCAATTTAGTCTTCACGATTGTTTAAACCGATAAGGAAGACGAAAAGTGTCTTAAAATTCCTTTTTAATTAGCTGCACAATTGTGCTGCTACTTTTGAATAAGACACATTTTTACCAATTGCTTTATTCTTTAAGCTTTTTATAACTATTTATTAAATGTCACTCAGGAATTACCAAGCTTTGCTTTATACAGTGGTGCCTCGCTTAACGAGCTCCCCGTTTGACGAATCCGCATAGCGATGAGGTTTTTGCAATCGCAAAAGTGATCACATTGCAATGTTTTATTTGGCAAAACATCGCTTTGCGATGATCGGTAAGCGTTTAGCGTTTCGCTATTATCGCCTAACGATGTTTTAAAAACAGCTGACGGTTCCAAAATCGCCACCAGAAAAAAAATGGCCACTCGCAGTGTTTTCGCGCCCTTTCCTCGTTTACCGGGCAGCATAGCGGTGAGTTTTCCCCTCACAGGAATGCATTAAACATGTTTTAATGTGTTCCTATGGGTTTTTTCCCCGCATAGCGACGATTTTTTCGGCGCGGATTATCGTCGCTATTCGGGGCACCACTGTACATATACCACCCTCAACTATTATTATAACAAGATCAAAAGTTTGTGCTGTGGTATAGAAAAACAGGCATGTTCCTTTTAATTCAAGTTCCAACATTTACCATATTTTTCACTCCATAAGATGCACCTGACTATAAGATGTAGGAAAACAGAAAAAAAATATTCTGAACCAAATACCTCTCTTCCCATGCTGCTAGGGAGAGAAAGAGGGGGAATGCCAGATCCAAGTCACCAAGACCGCCTTTGCAAAAGCAGCGCGGGGAAAAGCAATCCCCTCGTCTGCACTGCCTTTGGAAATGCAGTGGGTCTCAGTCTTGGATGGCATTCCCCCTTTTTCTCCCCAGCAGCAAAGGAAGAGGGCAAAAGGAGTCACCGTGATCAGAAGCCATGGGAACTGCTTTGAGTCCTTTTGCCCTCTTCTTTTGCTGCTGGGGAGAGAAAGAGGGGGAATGCCATCCAAGACTGGGACCCACTGCATTTCCAAAGGCAGTGCAGGCAAGGGGATCGCTTTTCCCCGCGCTGCTTTTGCAAAGGCGGTCTCAGTGACTTGGATCCGGCATTTCCCCTCTTTCTCTCCCCAGCAGCATGGGAAGAGAGCTATTTGGTTCAGAATTTTTTTTCCTGTTTTCCTCCCCTAAAAATTATGTGTGTCTCATAGTCAGGTGTGTCTTATGGAGCGAAAAATATGGGTAATTAATTGATTACCTGTATGTGTGGAATGTGTGGTGTGAGGCAGGATTACGGGACCCCAATCAGGGGCCGGGTGTTCCTCCCACAATCCTCCAATGCACAGGCATTAGAATACCTGACTGTGTCTGCAAGCTTACGTCACCCAGATGGCTTCTCTATTGGAAAAGTAAAGCAGGAAGGAGGAGTCTCTTTCTGTTCACCTTCCGCGGAGAAGTTAGCTGGAGGTTACAGCAACTCTCTACAGATAACAGCTTAACGTTAATTCGTTCCAGCAAAATCGCTGTAGAGCGAAAACGTCGTAAAGCAAAAATTAAAAACCCATTGAAACGCATTAAAACCCGGTTAATGCGTTCCAGTGGGTTAAAAACTCACCATCTAGCGAAGATCCTCCATACGGCGGCCATTTTCAGTGCCTGTATAGCAAGGAATCCGTTCCTAAGCACAGCGGGGAGCCATTTTGAGCACCTGGTGACCATTTTGAAAACCCGACGATCAGCTGTTTTGATTGTTGCAATGCGAAGAATCGGTTCCCAAAGCAGGGAACGGATCTTCGCAAAGCGAAAAACCCCATTTAAAACATCGTTTTGCGATTGCAATTGCAATCGCAAAAATATCGTTGTGAAGTGAATTCGTCATAATGCAGGGTAATCATTAGGCGGGGCACGACTGTATTAGCATTTTTATATATTGGGAAAAACCACAGCTATTTTGGGCTTTAGTTTGCAAAGAATAAAGCTGCCATCTGTAGAGTTGCTGTAGCCTCCAGCTAACTTCTCCGCAGAAGGTGAACAGAGACTCCTCCTTCCTGCTTTACTTTTCCAACAGAGAAGCCATCCGGGTGACGTAAGCAGACAGATGCAGTCATATATTCTAATGCCTGTGCATTGGAGGATTGTGGGAGTAATACCCAGCCCCTGATGGGGGTCCTGCGGGGCACCCCAAAACACGGAGGAGCTCTCTTGGCCTCTGGTAGGACCGGGGCTGTGCAGCCCTGTTCTGAGCAGGAGGTGCAGCCG